CTAAAATAGTAAGGTATATTATATATTATAAGACTATTAACTTTCTAGAACTTGCTAAGATTATATAGAAATATATTTTCTCGATTTTTGGCTTCCCTAATAGAATTATTTCTGACCGAGAAACGGTATTTACTAGCTAGTTTTAGTCTGCTTTCTACTTCTACTTAATATATAAATAGTATTTAAATATAGCTTACTATTTTTAGATAAATAATTAGATAGAAAGATAGAACTAGGCCCTGGAATACTATCTGAGATATTATTATAATACCTAAAAGAATAACTAGTTTAAGAAGTTATTTTTTATAGAATTTATATATAATAACTTAAAATATTAGATTTTATAAAATATATCTTTTTATATATATTATAAATATTACTTTTAACTTTTATAGAATCCTGAAAACAGGATTATAAAAGAGGTACTAGCTATATATAAAAGGCTAGAAACCCTTAAAACAGAATAAAGAAAGCTTAAGGATTTATAGTATTATATATAAAATAACCGGGAAACCTATTATAATAGGTACCGGTTAGCTAAATACTATTCTAAAAAAGCCTAAATAATACTATTAATAAGAAATATTAAATTTAAAGCAGGAAAGCTTAAGCCAAAATTTATAAGTCTATTTAGGATTCTTAAATATATTAGTAATTTAGTATATAAGTTAGAATTACTAAGTCTATATAATTATTTATATCTAACTTTCTATATTTCTTTCTTTAAAGAGTATATAGTAAAAAAGAATTAGAAGCTATATCTATATTTCTCTAGAGAACTTCCGGAATTAGTAAATAATAATAAAGAATAAGAATAGGAAATAGAAGCTATTATTAATTACTAATAAGATAATAGAAGCAAAAAGTAATAGTATTTAATTAAATAGAAAGCCTAATCTAAAGATTATAATACCTAGTTATTTACTTTCCCTAATTTTAAAAATTCTAAGGAACTTCTAAAATTATATAATTAAAACTATAGTTTAGAATCCGAAACTATCTCTTAATAATCTCTTAAGATTAAAAAGAATTCTGGACTATTAAGAAAAAGGCTATTTAAAAGAAAAAAAGGACCTGGATAGCTAAGAAAAGGCCCGGAATAATAATAGAAATACTTTTTCCCTGGGTTTTTTATTTATAAAGGTTTTCTAGGATTTTATTAAGGCTTATAAGAATTATATTTAAATTATTAGAAAAAGGTTTAGAATTAAGAAAGATTTATTATAGGTAGATTAGCTATAAGTATCTTAAATAAATAAACTCTAATTCCTATAAATTCCTAATTTCTAAAATAAGAATACTAAATACTGGCCCTATTTAGGACTTAGTAAAGAATTAGCTAATACTTTTCGGAATTCGCTTATTTCTTAATAGAATATAGTTATACTATAATAATATTAGTATTAAGGATATTAAAAGAAGTAAATAAGGAACTTATAATAGCTATATATATTTTATAAAAGGTCCGAATTTCTGAAATCAGGTCCTGAATAGCTATAAGTATTATATTATTAGTACTTGAAATACTAATAGTAAACTACTTAGTAATCTCGGTAATAAGCTTAGTAATAAGGTTAATATTTTAAAAGTAGATATTATAGTATTTCTTTAAGGAATTAGTAAATACCTAAATATATTAGAAAAAACTTACTTTTAAGATACTAACCCAAATAGTATTATTATTTGCCTTATTAAGACAAAAAGAAGAATTCCGAAGCTTATTAGTATTTTTCTAGTTTTTAAAAACCTAATTAATAATATTATTCTTATTAGTATAATACTATTTAGGATATACTTTAAGAAATTTCTTAAAGATTATAATAATATTTTCCCAGAACCGGTAAGTCTCTAATAAATAGTAAGGAATCTAAAATCATATTAGCTTTAATAGATATTAAAGCTAAAGAACTTACTAATATATAAAACTCAGAACCCTTATTATAACGGTTATAATTCTTCTTACTAGGTACTATAGTATATAAGATAAAGGAATTAATAAGCAAATACTTGAAATATTTCAAGTATTTACTAGTAATAGAAAAAGAAGCTATAAGATTACCTTTATACTTATTATTACAGGAACGGATAATAAAGCCAGAAAAAGATATTATAGAATTAATTAAAAATAATTAAAGAAGACTTAGAGAAGAATAAAAGAAGAGACTAAAAGGCAATAATAGAAAAAGTTATATATATAGTTATTAGAAAGGAAGAGAGTATATAGTAATATAAAGAGGTTTTTTTATAGAAATAGAGAATTACCTGAATTAATTACTAGTTTTTATACTAGTCCTAATTAGAAACTAGTATAACTAATTAATATATGCTTCTAGGAGCCTGTAAATAATCTCTAGGACCTCAGAAATATTTATATAGGTTTCTTATATAAATATTTATTAAATACTTTCTATATAGCTATTTAGATTATTCTAATATGAGATCTGACAAGTAATATTAGTTTTATAGGATAATACCTTGGTACTTTAGATCGAGCTAATTAGAATACTCAGATCCCAAATGAAATTATAATTATTAGCTAGCCTCTATACCTGGGGTATAATTACTTTTTCTTCTTACTTATTTAGCCCTAATCTAATTAGATAATTTTTATATCTATTATCCAGATTATATTAGTAAAACCACCTCCCAAGATACTAGAAGTTTATATTAATTAAATAAATAATTAATTAAATATTTACTAGAATAGATTAATGGATTTTGGAAACAAGATCCTAGAAGGGAGATATAGTTATAATATATATAGGGTTATATATAACTTAAGGATATATAATAAACCTCGGATATTACGGGTATTAATTAGGGAGTTCGGTAGCCCTTTAATATCCCAACTAACTACTATTTATATTATATATATTAGGCTTATAAATTACTAATTATATATATACCATCGGGGCCTCCTATTTAGAGAGGGCTTCCCTGGACCTTATAGGAAGGACAGAGATTAGTTCTGTACTGAATTTAATACTATAGTTTTATAATATACTAATTCATTCTATTATCTTATTGCCTACTAACAAACACCTCATAGTAAGGGGCCCGATTACTCAATTATCTACTTAAGCAAGCTCCGGTTTATAAATCCGAGGTCGAATATGAGCGAATTTTGAAAATATTATAATATTTTCAAATTAATAAATTAATAAAATTCTATTAGTAGGATCTATTAAAAATAATTTAGTTAATAATACTATTTAAGTAATTTTAGCTAAAGCCTTTTATTAGAACTATATATAATTTTAATTATAAAATAGTTTTTTAAAATATATAATTATATAAATCTTTTTATCTTTAATAGAATTTAATTTAGGTAATACTTATTTAAGTTTCTTATAAGTATTAATACTTTTTATTTAATTAAAATTTGGCCTTTGTATTTTATTAGAAAGTTATATATTATTTTAAAATTAGGCCTTTTTATTAGCAAATCGGGCCCCTTGCTTAGCCCTAATAGTACCTGATTCCCAAATCGCTCATATTAATAAACAGGTATAAACAGATCTAAAGAAGTAAGTCCGTAATCTATCTGCTATTCTTCTATAAATATTAGACTACTAGCTCTTATTATAAAGGCTAGTACTCGAGATACTTATTTCTAACTTATTACTTTAGCTTAGAAATAGGCCCTTAAAGGAACTATTCTAGTTTAATACTAATATTATTAACTCTTACTAGGCTAATATAGTAGTTAGTTCTTTATCTAATTAGGGGCAAGCTAACTAATAGCTACTTTCTATCTAAGGTATTATAAAGTTAGTATAAAGTATCTATTTAGACTATATTCCCTAAAGCTATTAGTAATAATCTCCCTATATTAAAATTAAGAACAGAAATCTATCTAATTTTACTACGGATTATAGTAAATATATATATTTACTAGTATATTATAAGAAATCCGATTATTACTAAAAGCTTAATTAGTAATTTAATAGATATATAGAAGAATTCTCTTATTTCCAGGATAGTAATTAGTCTATATAACTGCCGCAAGATTATTATAGGGGATTTCCTAACTCCTAAGACTATTATTACTAGGATATTAATTAGTATATATAATAGCCGCCTGCTTATAAGAGGGAATTCCTAGATACTAAAGATAGTAAATTATAGTAATTAGGTTCAAGTAATATAGAATTCTCTGACTTAAATTCGTTTATTAACTATTCTCCCCAAAATATATCTAGTATTATATCTATATTCTCAAGTTAGTCTCGAGGTCAGAATTTACTAGTATACTATATGGATATACCGCAAGCCTTAATACTGCTATAATTCCCGAGCGCTTTAACTTATTATTCTACTCTAGCTACTAAGCCTAATATAAAATCCTCGGCTTCTGTTAATACCTGGCAAAATGAAGGTATAACTAATTATATAATGGCATAGACTGCTCATAATCAAGGCGCCGGAATATTTAGTTCCCAAGATCTCTTCCAAGTATCTGTTTAGCATTTAGTACAAAAACAAATAATTATTATCAAAACTTCGGGCTCAAGAACATTATATAACAAAGCAGTGATATTATAACTGCAGCAGCGAACATGGCATCAGCAAAGCCGTGTGCAATTTGCTTTGATTTTGGGGCCCTCTGCTTCTTGGGACGAGAGCTGGAGGCAGTTGCCTGGGGACAGGAGCCAGCTTGCCCAGGGTGCAAAGACAAGGGGCAAAGACATGGGGGAAAGACAGGGGCAGAGACAGGGGGCAGAGGATGGTGCCAAAATCAGGTACCCGATCCAGCTCCCTTACATCATTCTAATTATAGCCTAGAAATTGGGCCGGGGTCGGCAGGGAGCCGCATCGGACCCCACAATCTTTGAACTCTGCCCATATCTCTGCACCCAGCAATCGTGAGGCATTTCCGGGCAGGGGGAGGGATGGGAGGAAGTTTGAGACTTCACACTGGCCAGTGACGTCAGCAACGCTGCCTACCTATACAGGTAAGAAGTAAGCATTAGTCGGCCGCAAGCATTCTTCTATGTCGCGTTAAAACGGTAATATATTACTATATTCCCTATCACGTGTTCACAGGACCCCCGCCTGTACCCACTGTACGCCCGCTGTACATTACACTAACCGAGCCACCGAGTCAGCAGTTCCGACACTACTACTCTTCTTCCATCACGCAATACCAACGTCCATCTTGACTTCCTATGTTGGTCTGCTATTTGACTAGAGAGCTGGAGAATTTCTCGAAGTCGACACATTGATTTTGACGGTAATTCTATAGGAGATTTAGCCTCGAGGTCCGCGAACTCTCTCGTAGTGTACTGACGTAGTCTCTTTTCATAGTATTGAACCTCTTCAGATGATAGTGCATTATAGGCACTATCGAACAGGGTACGCACAGGGAACTGATTGACTTCCATACTTTGGTGCGATATCATCTCCGAGTTATCTAGAGGTGACGTTGATGTAGGAGTAACTCTGGGCTGTTGGTTGTGTAGTAATTTCCCAATTCCGTCTTTTAGTTCCTCCTCAACCGAATCAATCTTTCTGTTTTATTCTTTCAGTAATTTGACCTGTGAGATTCGATAACCTGACTCACGTCGACAGCATGAGAATCTGAGAATAAAACATCTTGAATCGCAGAACTTCCATTCTGCGAGAGTGCCGAAGAATATCCTCCCGCTCCCTAGTCCACTCAGACATTCGTCGTACGCGAGATTGATCCAGCAGCTTTAATAAAGTACGTGTAGTACGACAACCCAAAGAGTACATCTCCACGATTATCGAACGAACCGCTCCTGTGATGGCATGCTGGCCTGTTCCCAAATTTCGTGATGCTATCTCGTGGTCTTCGAGCATTGCAGTTTCACAGAGGAATTCAAAGGCCTCTCTAAGTGCGTTTAAAATATCATCTTCGCTTTTTCTCAATGTATTCATTGCCTGTGCACGAGCGTAGAGGCCGAGTATGATAGCGACGACAAATGTCAGGATGCCGGTGACACTTGCAACGATAGAAAGTGGGCTATCAGGCATGATGTCAGGGAAACGGTTAAAATGATAGAGTAAGAACTTAACAAAGATCGCTCCATCCTAGGAAGGAGAGATAATTCAGTTCAAGAAATACTATTTCCTTCAAAGAAGTCGATAAGACACCATCGCTTTATTGGATGGATTTGCCCGCAAGACTTCGGTTACTTTTACATGGTGGCGTACCATGGTCCCCAATTACACCAATGAAATCGGGCGGCACGCAGAAATGTGGCGCGAGTTCGTTGCTGCAGGGCCTCCACCCTCATGCAAGCGAGCGGGAGATTGACACATCCCCTAGTCCGTTGGAACCACATACAATGCCAAGTCTTCAGCGAGGGCACGCGCCCACGGGTTATCCCGTTTAATATGACTCCTATCTTCAATTACCTCCCTTCTGGGCCACCCTCCTAAAATCATCTGCCCCAAAGGGAGCTGGAGTTCAGGCGTGGAAGGCGCGAATAGACACTATTGGCCAGAACCGGTAGCATAAACCCGCACCAGCAATATCCGCGCCTGATATCTGCGAGAAGGCTTTTGATCCTCAACACGTGCGGCTGAGCACTTGGCACACCATAGGGCTTGGTCTAGAGTTTTCAGCTTTGGTACCGCCTTGCAGTTCTTGAAAAAAGTAAAGGTCCCATATCCATCAATCAGCAGCTCTATCTTTGCTATGGCACTCAATCCCCCCACTTACGGCCCAAGCCACATCCATGCAGAGTGGCCTCGGAGTTAGCCGTGAGTTATCATTACAACAGAGCTTTGATTTGTTAAGAGTCACGTCGTGACGGTTGGGGAGTCCAAGACGTGGCATGGAAAGACACCACGACTTGACAAATGTTACCGGTTGTCAGAACCCCGCTCGCAGGGTCGGTTTCCCGATAGGAATTAGATGCGCCCATCCGGATTCCTCTCTGCCAAAGCTTGATCGTTGATATCCTCTAGGTTGAAATATTACACCTCAACCTCTACCTTCTCTTTAGAGAGCGTTGTTAGGTCCTAGTATGGTAAGTTTACTTCCTAAACCCTATATACGAATAATTCTGTACCTGAGTAATTGCTAAGATAGAACTAGCCTCGGGAGCCGCTGACCGATGCAGGTACTAGAGTCGCACCGAACCACTTCGTCAAGCTTCTCGACTATGAAATCTTCAAACAAAGCCCGAACGGGACTGAGGAGTTTAACAAGTGAATAAATGGAGCGAATGGACTGGAATGGGATAAAATGGAATGGGAATCAAGTCTGGAACATTTTGTAATTTAACGAAAGTATAACGTAATAAGTTTTTGAATTCAAATATAACTTCCATTCCTAATTCAGAAATTACTCTTGCGGTATATACTTGTAATGCCTATATATATAGACCTGGGCCAAAGATATAATACCGATAAGTGACTTCTTCTGGTATAGACGGCCCAGGAGTAGATACTATAACTATTAGGGTAGGTCTCTTACGGGGTAAGGAAGGGAATTAATATACCTTAAGTAGCTCTCCTGCAGAGGCGGCAGATATTATTACGGAAAGAAATCCGAGGGCATCTGAGTTTAAAGGCTAGTAATATAAATTATTAATACTAATAGCCCTATTCTCTTTAATATACTTCTATATTAATTCTATTATAATTAATAAGAGGGTCTTAATATTACAAGTTTTGCCTTTTAATTCTAGTATTATATAATAATACTCTAGATTTATTATAAGGCCGAATTAATTCATATATTACTCGGTACTAGAAAAGTTACTTACTAATCTTTATATTACTATTTATATTTAGTAAGATATTCGAATAAATAAGAAACCCGTATTCGAATTCTTCTATTATAAGATATACTATACCGGTTATAACCTACTATAATTAGTATATATTCTTAAATAAATTATAGAAGCTTACTTATTCGAGAATAGCCGTAATTTATTACTTGTTAGAATAAGCTAATAATCTTATAATCCGTTTAAAGAAAAAAGATATATACTCGAGAATAATATAGAGGCTATTATTAGTTATAAAAGCTTTAAGGGCAGTAATAATATTTTAGTACTAAAGCTATTAATATATATATAGTATTTTTAGGGCCGCCTGAATTAGAAATACTCTTATATAAATAAGCTTAATAGGAGTAGCCTTTTAAATAGCTACTTCTATAAGGCTACGAAGTTTAGTATTATATATCTTTTTATATTTATTTTATAGAAATTCCTATATTATTCTGAATTAGAAAAGGCTACTTATTATAAGTTTAATAGTTCTTATTAGTATTTTTTTTAGTTCCGGTCGAGATATCTAAAGCACGTTCTCGAGAACTAGCTCTTTTCTTACTTAAAGTATTAGCCTTGGAAATTGAGCCAAGTAACTTATATATAATAGTATACTTTATTACTTTAATTAGTAATCTGGCCCTTACTAATATAAGTATATTAATTTATATATAATAATCGGAGAAATATTGCATGGCAACTGCATGCTAGTAGTTACGTACAGGCTCACGTGACTACATTCCTGTATTTAAGCTTTGGCCACTCGTACCACACCTCTCTTTCCTCTTCATCTATCTATATATTATTATTATAATACAATAATAATGTTTTATTATAACAAGAAACCTATTTTAGGAATATAAATAGATTATAAAGTTAGAGAAGCCAATATATATATATAATAAGAATATAGAAAAAGAAGTTAAGATTAAGGTCGAGATTAGATTAAATAGAAGACTAGATAAGTAATATATTATATACTCTTATTATATATAGTTTAAGAAATACTTAAAAACTTATATAGATTAAAACTACTATATTAAAACTTTAATTAAATTAGAGATAAAAGGTAATAGAATTTGGCTTCTTTATTCTTATCTTAAACTAATAATCCTATTTACTTATTTCTTCTTTCTTTTCTAAATATTTTCTATTATTATCCTAGAATATAATAAACTATAATTATAATTCATTTTCTCGAAATATATTAATTTTAGAACTCTAAATAAGAACTAAGGCTCGAAAAAGAAAAATATATTAAATATTAAGATATTATATATATCCGGTTCGAAATATTTAATTTTAAAAAAAAAAAATTAAAAGAGCTTAGTTAGAAAAATATTAAGAGGCTAAAAGAAATCTTCTAGAAAAATAAGAGAATATATAAGAATATTTATTAGCTAGATACTTGAAACTATATTTCTATTATAGTTAAGTAATCTAATTTTAATACTACTATTTTTACTTTTAAGATCTTAATAAAGAAATTATTAAATAATTTAAATAATAACTCTCTTATATTAAAATTTACTATAGGCTATCTTCTTATCTACTTCTATAAATAATACTATATTTAGACTATTTAAGAGATTTTATTTCTAATAAATATATAGTAAATAATTAATTTATATTTTATAAGTATATATTTTCTCTAAAAATACTAGAATAAGGCTTACTAATTCTTTCTCTAAATATAAATAAAGAGCTCAGAACAACCCTAGTTAAAGAATACTTAAATAAGAAAAAACCGTCTAATAATAAGATCTATTATAAGATCCAGTAATATAAGTAAAAGAGTAATATTTATTTTAAGAAATAATAAAAGGCTTATCTCTCTAATTATAGATAGTAGGGCCTTTAATAGCTTTATAACTATAGGAATAAAGAGTTTATAGTTATATTTAATAAGCTTCTAGATATTTCCGTACTATAGGATAATATAAGACTTAGTATAATATATAAGATATTAAATATAAAGTATAATAAAATAGATCTATTCTTTATAAAGTTGTATTCTTACTTATATTATATATAAAAGGCTCTATACTATCTCGAGCTAATTTAAAAGAATCTATATAGGATTTTTAAAAGAGTTCTTTATAGAAATAAAACTGCTTTTTAGAAAGTAAATTAGATTATTATTAAGGTATTCGAGCTTAAGGCTCTGAAATACTTTAAGTAAAATACCCAAGTCTTATAAGACCAAGTATTAAGTAGCCAGATCTATAGCTTATTTAGCTAAGAGAAGTATAAAGTAATTTAAAGCGAGTTATAATTTATTAATTATTTTATTTCTTTACTTTTTTCTTTTTTTTTAAGGATCTTAAGTACTTCTATATATATATTAATTATTTAAAATAGCTAGTAAAGATATTATATAGAAATACTATTTATATAGCCCTAAAGTAAAAGTTCCCTTATATAAATAAGGCAAGTAACTAATATATTATTGAGATTACTAAGTTTAATATTATAAATAAATTAGAATAAGCTATAGATTATATTAATTTAGAATATTAGTACTTATAGCTTTTTATAATATAGTATTATTAGAAGATACTAATAGATATAAAGAAAAAGAATAAAGACCTACTTATTAAAGCTAGAATCTAGAAAGCAAATAAGAAGGTCTTATTAAAAGCAGCGAACTTAGCTAACTAGATAGGGTTTATATCTAATAAGATTAAAGCCTTAAAGTAATAATTATTAGATAGAGAGATTATATATAATATTTTGCTTAAGGCTCGGAAACCTAATTACTACTAGTATAACTAGACTGTCTTAGAAGCTAATATAATATAAATTATAAGGTTATTTATAATAGCTATCCCGTTTCCTTTCGAGAATTTATATCTAGCTCTCGTTTATAGTAATTCTAATATAACAGAAAAGTAATACGGATTTCTAGACAAGAATATTTAGTAATAGAATAGTAAGTATCTCTTTATATTATATATATATTATAAGAGTAAGAAGTAAGGTAAGGAGATTATATTATTCTTTATATATTAATCTATATACTTGGCCTTTTTCAGTAAATTACCGGATCTCGGTATAGGTAGTAGTCCTAATTTCTTCCTGTTCCTGCCATACCGGCTTTAATAAACTGGAGTATTAGTATCTTAAGAACTAGTATCTCAAGGACCGGAAATAGATAAAATCGAGCGGTCCAGGCAATAGAGGAAACAAGAGAGGCTGGATTAAGAAAGGCTAGACCAAGAAAGGCTTGAATAGCAGAGGCTTGAATAA